TACGACGGAGGTTAAATGGCTTCAGTTCTTGTGTGAGAACAATTCTATACGGATGCAGGCCCAAATCGTTTCTCAAAAGCCGTCAGGTGGTGGTTTAAGACAGTCCCAATTATTGAGAACGTCTACGTCTGAACGGTAGCCGTGTGTTGAGCGGTTCTTTGTCGTACAGGTACTTGAACATTATGTGAAAAAAATATACTCGACAAATAGCGAGCACAGGAGGACGATTATTATGACCATAAAATGGCAAAGGCGCGCGAAAAAATTTAAATTGGAACATCTCTCCATGATGTAAAAAATATTACTGAATTCACTGAAAAAAAGTAGAGATTATGACATACTAAAAATGGCCAAAAGGACATCTTAATCTTATCATCCCTATTGAAAAATCCAGCATAAAGTATAAAGCCAACCGATTTTATCCATTTTAAGCAGAAGAAAAACCCCTCCATATTTTGACAAAATCACTAGACCGAGCAGATTGATCGATATTATCGTAAATAAATCAGATGGGTACAGTCCACATATTCGGTAATGAGGGTTTTGAAAAGTTATAGTCAGATTTCTACAATTTTTAGATGTATGCAGGAATACCTTAAAGGTACTGAAACAAAAATTTAATAATAATTAAAATTTTTACTCCAATAATGTCATTTAATCTCAATTTATATTGCAACATTTGTATATTGTAGAATATGGATGTAAGAATGTTGCAATTATATAATCCACTAAATTTTCTTGCTTGGCATGGGATTTTATCGAAGGATAGGTGGTGCCACTCCCATTATCCAATTTTGACAACGTGTTTAATGCTGTTCTTATGTATCAATGATGATGAGGGTTTTAATGGTTTATTTAGAGAGTTATCGCACTTCTAGTAGATTTCAACTTAATCGTTATATAAGAAGTGAGCGCAGATTTCCCCAAAAATTTTCGGAGACGGTGCCGAATGGATTTGTGCTGACCAAATTTGCTTGATATATCTTTAGTAGTCAGTGGGATATGTATGTACATTAGACCGGGTCGATTATTTTCTATTTTTAATGGCAATTTTTATAAAATTTGATTAAATCAAATCGCTAACACAATACCATAGTCTCTTGAGCTTCTTCTTAGTGTGATCCGTTATTACATTCCGTTATGGTATGTTATATGGTTTCGATTAAGAGCATTTTGTAGGCATGTCAGTGACCCGATTCAGCCCACCTACAATATCGACCTATGAGGTCAAGAAAAGCTTGTGCCACCGGAGGACAACTCATCTCGTCAACTCCATAATGTGTATATAAATTCTTAAGAATCTATATCTTATTCTTCTTCTTCTTGATTGGCGTAGTCACCGCTTACGCGATTATAGCCGAGGTAACAACAGCGCGCCAGTCGTTTCTTCTTTTCGCTACGTGGCGCCAATTAGATATTCCAAGTGAAGCCAGGTCCTTCTCCACTTGGTCCTTCCAA